ATGCGTGTGTTGTGGTGCATGTGTGGAGGTCAGAGGACAACTTGTGGTAGTTGTTTTTTCCCTTCTACCATATGGGTCCCAGAGGTCGAACTCAAATCACTGGGCTTAGTGGCAAGTGCCTTTACTGGCTAAGCCAGTAACCAGCCCCATGGTTCATACTTTACTCATTATATGAGTAGATTGCATTTTAAGGCAATCTTTCATTAGAATAAAAATATGCAGAACTAGAATTTCTTTGCCCTTAAGACATGTTTATTATAGAGTCAGTAGGTTGTACCAAATTATTTTTCAGAGCTGTTCAATAACATTTTCATCCATTTCACACTCTCTCTCTCACACACACACAGACACAGGCACAGACACAGACACAGACACAGACACAGACACACACACACACACACACACACACACACACACACACACACACACGATATAGAGATACTCATTTCCTCACATCACCATAATGGTATATAATCAAACATAAAAGTTTTGAGCTGGGGCTAGAAAGACGGCTCCGTGGTTAAGAGCACATGTGTACTGTTCTTGTGGATGACCTGGATTTCGTTCCCAGCACCCACGTTGGGAGGCTCATAAGCACATAGAACTCTGGATCCAGGGGATCCAATTCCCTATTCTGACCTCCGTGGGCACTGGAACTCTTGTTCCCACAATACACATACAAATTAAAAATAAAGCTTAAAAATAAGATTAGGACAATGTTACAATAAATCTTTCTGCCAAAAGCTGCTTGAACCCCACCGCCACGTGTGAGCTTTATGCCAGCTGCCTGCCCGAGTTAGGCCCAAATGAATACACAGAGACTTGTATTAGGTTCAAAGCTGATTGGCCAATGACTAGGATTCTCATCTGTTAGCTCAGTCTTAACTATCATAAACCTATATATTTTATATGACTTATCTTATCGGATGCCTTATTGGCGTCCCTCCTTGCCGGTGGATCACATCATGCCTCTGTAGCAGGATCAGAAGGGATAAAAGGGATGCTTCCTGTTTCTCCTTCTTTAAATATGAGTCTCCTTGCAATGTCACTTCCTGCCTGGATCACCACTTCTCTACTACATTTCCCAGAATCCTCTTTGACTCCTAGTCCCATCTAACTTGCTGTCTCATTGGCCAAACAGTATTTTATTTAACAATCAATAAGATAAACATACACAGTACATTCCCCATCAGGACAATATAAATAAGGGGTAACTTAGTATTTTTAATTTTCTTGAGTTCTACTATTAACGTTAATATCTTCTTCTCATCTGTTCAGTGGTATATATGTTTTACTTTTCTCAATTACATAGGTTGTTGTGACAGGTTTGTGGTGCTCCAGAGACCAACCCAAGGAGCTGACACTTCTGATGCAAAAGCAAAGGTTTCTTTTTATTTCTCAAGCTGGCCAGCTTGAATCTACTCCATGGTGGGGAAATGAGATTCCAACCAGCCATAAAGAGAAGCTTTTAAAGGACAGACCATAAGGTTGAAGGCCACAAATTTCAGAGTTTCCATGGTTACTTAAGGTTATACAAAATACAGTGTAAAGCAGTAACTATATATTTTAAGCAAGATACATTTGAATAAGATAAGACAGGGCACAGTGTTTCAGGGTTACAGGGTCACAGGGTCTGTCAGTTATCCCCTGGGCCCAGGGATCTTTACAGCCTTACTAGCAGCAATTAGCAAACATTGGAATTTTGACCCAAGTGGTGGAGGGGCACCTCTCCTTCTGTGAGAGCAGGGCTCAGGTGCCAGCCATGACATTCCAGGTCATTAGAAGTTCCCTTTTCAGGGCCTAGGTTTTTAAACTTATTAATTTTAATTTTTGGTCCTTCAAGGTATGATGGGGAATGTACTGTGTATGCTTATCTTATTGATTGTTAAATAAAATACTGTTCGGCCAATGGCAAGCAAGGACTAGGAGTCAAAGAGGATTCTGGGAAATATGGTAGAGAAGTGATGATCCAGGTAGGAAGTGACATGGCAAGGAGACTCATATCTAAGGGAGGAACCAGGAAGTATGCCCTTTTCCCCTCCGCTCCTGCTCCAGCGGCACAATGTGATCCACTGGCAAGGAGGGACGCCATTAAGGCGTCCAATAAGAAAAGTCTTATAACATATATAGATTTATGGTAGTTAAGACTGAGCTAACAGATGAGAATCCTAGTCATTGGCCAAGCAGCTTTGAACCTAATACAAGTTGCTGTGTATTCATTTGGGTCCTAACTCAGGCAGGTGGCTGGTGTAAAGCACACACGTGGCGGTGGGGCTCAGCAGCTTTTGGCGGAAAGATTTATTGTAACAAAGGTATATAACCTTAGCTCAGTTTTCTGTTGCATTTCTGTTATTACTGGTGTGTAAGTTTTGAAAGCTATGCTTCTACTTGTCAGTATTGCTGGCAAGTGTTCTTCTGGTGTGGAATTTGGGTTTCATTTTCATCCAGTGTCCTTTCTTGAGCATGCATTTATCTCAATGTTCATACGGTCAGCTTTACCGATACTTCCCTTATAGTTGTATTTGATTATGTAAGAAAGTCTTCTTATTCTAAATCATGTTGTGAATTTCTGTTTTCACAAAGTTCTTATTATTCTACCATGTTATAGTTAGGGGTTTAAATATTTTCAAATTTATATTTCACAATTGTGAGCTAGAGATCTGATCTCTTTTGATACAAAGGATCTGTTGTGCCAGCTTTGTTGATGGTCCACTCTTAGACATGCTAGTTATTGTCCATTGAGAGCAAGGCTTTAGATGAAGGCTCTTCGTGTCTTTTCTTGTCTCTCTGTCTATATGAAAGGTTCTAGTGTTAAGTCTGTATGTTGGATAGTGTTATCTCAACTTGACTGAAGTCATCTGAGAGGAAATAGCTTCCATTGAGATAATGTTGCCACAAGATCTGGCTGTAGGAAAGCCTGAAGGGCATTTTTTAAATTAGTGATTGATGTGGGAGAGCCCAGCCCATAGTGAGAGGTGCTACCCCCAGTTAGTAGCCCTGTGTAGCAGACTGAGAAAACCATGGGGAGCAAGCCAGTAAGCAGCACCCCTCCATGGCTTCTGCATCAGTTCTTGCTTCCAGGTTCCTGCCCTGTTTGAGTTTCTGTCCTGACTCCCTTAGTGATGAGCTGTTGCCTGGCAGTGTAAGCCAAACAAACCCTTTCTCCCCCAAGTTGCTTTGGTCACGAAGTTTCATCACAGCAATAGTAACCCAAATTAGAACACCCCACTTTTTACTGGGGGAGGGCAGAAACCCAGCAAGCATGTATGGCAGATGGAGGCAACTCACACCCTGGGTGATGCACAACACCAGTGTGTTCTAAGGACTGTCCTGGGAAGTGCGTGGGGAAGCAGAAACTGCAGACCCTTCCGGCTGGGCTTATCTTTGTGTGCCTGTGGTAGTAAAACATACTGCCAGACATTGTTAAATGTCTCCCTGCGGGGGGCGGGGGGCAAAGTTTCTCTGCTAAGTGCCACTCATTTAAATAACATGAACTGCTCTGAGTTCTTGGTATCAATAATTAATGCTACTAATGCTGGTGGGAGAGATGCTAATTATGAAACACGATTCATAATTATGTATTTCCTCAGTGCAGTGGCCTCTGTCCCCTTTTCGTCATGCCTTCTCTATAGCCCTTGATTTCTTCCTGTGTGCCACCCACGCTGGGCAACATGTGTAGAAAATATTTTCAGCATTTTGTTGACAACGACTAAGAGTGGAAAAATAAAGCCCTGCTGATGTCAAATGACTCCTAAATGCAGATGTGGTGGCGGGAAGCTTTCCACATTCATGACACAAATTCACTAGAAACACATCTGGCACCCCCAGCATACAGCCCAGCAGCTCTGTAAATTGAGATGGCCACTCAGTGATCAAGACCCCTTAGTTCCCCCCATCATTCAGGGTTGTTCAAGGTGACATTCACTTTCAGTCTGCAAATGCTGAGCAAGATCTAGTCTGGCTTAGGACACTGTCATTATTAGCCTGGCCAATCGAGCGCTTGCGTTTTGAAGTCAAAATAAAGAGTGGGTCTCTTCACTCCTACAATGGAAGATGGATGCTGTGCCCCTCTTGAATGTCCCAGCTCCAGGGACCCCTTTAAGAGGTCTCCAGTTAGCTTCCATTTCCACTCTGGACAGGAGGATTATTGAGAAACTTTGTTTAGCCCCATGTGTAGTTGGGAGCCTTGATGATGCAGAAGATCTCATTATCTTTGTGTCCCTATCAGGTAAATAATGTGGCACATTCTTGGTCAGCATAAACTGTGTTTAATGACAGTTTCTTCATTTGTGGTGGCAGAGATTTAAACCCAGAGCCGCACACATGTTGAGCAAATGCTTTACCATTGAGCCACACCCCAGACTCTTATGGCCATTTTTCATAAGGCTCATTCAAACATTCCAGGCTCCACTGTCACCCGCCCCACTTTTTCTGGGTCCCCTCAGCTTTGAGCTCACCCTCTAGACCCTTAGAAGAGACTGGGGGCGTCAACAGACCTGGGGCTCCATAAAGGCAGATCTGGGTCACCTTCTTGTTTTCTGAGGTCCCTTCATTCTGGTGCAGGTATAGGACCATCCTATACTTCCAGGTAAGACCACGGGGAACTGGACTCAGAAAATGACAGGAAAGTGTATTAAGTGTAACAGTGTCCTGTGGTTGTCACTTCTCTGGTATCCTATCTGTGCCCTCTGGATTCTTGCTGTCAGGACAGGTACATTCAGGCATGGGACAGGTGCACTCAGACACAGAGGCAGAGTGAGGTGGTGTATCAGAGCTCAGCCACCCCCTGCTGAGGACACAGAGTCCCATCTAGAGCTAGCAGTAACACAATGTCCCACCATTCTGCTCAATATTCAGCTGGGTGTCCCTGCTGTTGGCCCTGCCTACACAGTTCCTGGGAAGGGGAGGTAACAGAAGGTGCACCTAGGTGGCATCAGTAGAGACAGTCTGGGAGGGAAAAGGGCCAAGGCTCATTGAGGCTGAGCGCAGGCATCGCTGCCATGGACTGCCTGTTGTGGGACACCTGCGTCCTCTGCTTGCTGAACCTGTTGGGAGTTGTAAGTAGCCAGCTCAGGCCTCCTTCTCTTTTCTTCTCCAGCTGGGTGGTGGCAGGCTGTGGCTGAGGAACTCCTCAGTCTGCTGGCTTTCTCCTTTCTTCCCTTGACTAGTCTCAGACTCTGCCTTGAAGTGAGATGTCTCCTTGTTCCCTTGCCCACGTCGTATCTGTGTCCTCTGGGGGCCCTAGAGACACATGCTGGGAGTTTCCATCTTGGGATAGTTGAGCCCAGATATGGCCTCCATGTCACACCCGAGCCTGTCCCTTCTCTAAGCCACACACTTCCAGGCTGCCAACCATTTCTTCTCAAAAAGAACCAACACCTTCTTGTTGTCCTCTCTCCTGTCTCCTCAGCCACCTCCAGCATGGATGTTTCCTTGAAGGGAGTGTGGCCAGGAACTCTGTGGGGCCTGAGGAATTAGCTCTTCTAGCTATGGCAGTTGGTGACTCTGCCTTTGGTGATGCCAGGATTGGAGAGGCTTCAGAAACCAGCCACTGCTCTCTGGCTTGTGCATCAGGGTGTGGGCCAGTCAGGAGTACAGGTTTCCCTGAGTGTGCAGAAACTTCCCAGCAGACTTTCTGGGTCGCTGAAAGTAGCATCGAGGGCCCAGAGGGGAGGAGCCACAAGACACTAGCAGGAGCACATGGGGACTGAGGCTGCCTTCTTCCTCTACTGATTTGCCAGAGTGACCATCCATTCTAGTACCTCACTGCCCTTTGCTCAAGATGCTGGCATCTGGGGACCATGAAGTGAATTGTGTGACACTTGAGACTTCATTTGTCTCTGTAAAAAGAGAAACTTGAGTGAGGCAGAGGCAAGAGTATTATGATGAGTTTGATGTTAGTCTGGGCTACACTGAGAATTATAGTGCAGTCTACAGGGGGCTGCCATGCCTCTAGGAGGTGGTGGGGGATGAGCGATCTGGCTTGTCAAGGGCTGCCACGTGGGTGTCATGCAGATAACGTCCACGAGCTCCCTATATGGTACGAAGGGCTCACACTCTACTCTGTGTACATAGCACCAAAGCTTCATTTAGGGGAGGGAACCCTAGACCCAAACCTGTTGTTCAGCAGCTAGGGTAGATACCAGATTCGGGACTAGAGTTGACCACTGTCTTCTTCCAAACCTTGAGGTGAGCAGTTAGTCGGGTCAGGGAAAGGACCAGTGTGTGTGTGTGTGTGAGAGAGAGAGAGAGAGAGAGAGAGAGAGAGAGAGAGAGAGAGAGAGAGAGAAAGAGAGAGAGAGGGAGGGGAGGGAGAGAGAGAGAGGCAAAGGCATTTGGGTAAGTCTTGAGAGATATTAGGGATTCTAGCTCTCTAAAGAAAAGGTCAAATGCCAAATCCTAGTCATACCCCAGATCTCTGCCTAGCCTGGAGCACTTGGGTTCCAGATGGCCTCTGAATCACCCTTCAGAAACACAGATGTCCAGATAAACTTAGAGACCATTCCTTGTGGTCTCCCAGGCTCCGGGAGGTACCAATCTTCTATCTTTATGATCACCAAGCCACACATGAAGGCAGCATCCTTCTATCCATCTAATGATCAACTCCGCCACCCTGATACAGGACCCTTATCATCCATTATACCTCCTCCATGCATCCATATGTGTCCATCTTCCCTTATCGCATTGTCCGTGTGTCTGTCTGAACACTCATCCACTCCACCAGCCCTCCAGCTAGTACCCCCTCTCCCAGGACCTCCTTCCTTCCTGTTCATTGTTCCTTTATCTCAGTCAGGTGCTATTGTCTTCTCTCTCCCCCAGCCTCCTGTATATTCCCCACTTACTAGTTTACACATTTCCTCGTGTAACTTGCCTGAGACACATCCACAGCCCAACATGCTTTTCAATGGGCTAAACCCAAGTGTTTGGCAGGGCTGTGGTCCTTCTGGAGTCTCCTTGCTTGGCTGAGGCATTTCTTCATCTTCAATAAGTACAATAGCTCCTTTCATCATGTCCTCTCTGACTTGATCTTTGTGCCCCCTTGTGATGGCTCTGGTCCCGCTCAGATAATCAAGGACATCTTCCTGCTTGGAGATCATATATGCTAAGTGCCTTAGTTGTGTCAGGTTTTGTGGACTGGGAAATGGACATCTTTGGGGACCATTGTTCTACCTACAAGGGTTGCTTATGCAGAAACACTTGCAAGGCCTAGAAGTATGGAGGGATGGGGGGAGAAAGGGCCATGTTAGGGACTGCAATGTCCCATCTGTGGATTCTCTAAATGGCTTTCTTTAAGGTGTCTTAGAATTCACTGCCATGGGCTAGGAAAGTGCATCCATCCCTCCCTTCTTTCCTCCTCTCTCTGCCCCCCTCTGTTCTTTCCCTTCATGTCCCCCTTTCTTTTGCTCCCTTTCCTCCCTTATCTCTGAACTTTTGCCCTCTTTCTCCCACTCCCTCCTTCTTCATGCCCCACTACCCATCAAATATGCCTTGATACTGCTGGGACAGATGGGTCCTCAGAATCGGGGCACAACAATATACCAGGCCTGCTCTCTGCCTTTATATCACTAGAGCTAGAGAGCCGGAGGCCACCAGTGGGCTTGGCTCACCCTGTCACTATTTCTCATAGGCACTGGGTCACCTCCACCCAGAATGTGACTTCATCACACAGCTGAGAGAGGATGAGCTTGCGTGTCTTCAGGTGGCAGAGGGGACCAACAACACCTCCCTGGGTATGAAGGGGTGGGGGATGGATCCACCCTGATGCTGACATCTCCTCCAGTGCTGTCCTTTAGCATACCATGTCAGCTTCCCTCTGAGGTCACTCTGAATCTCCTTCTTCTCCACCTAGGCTGCCCTGGGACCTGGGATGGGCTGCTGTGCTGGCCTCCGACAGGCTCTGGCCAGTGGGTGGCCCTCCCTTGCCCCGACTTCTTCTCTCACTTCAGCTCAGAGCCAGGTGAGTGGCCTAGAGATGGCAGGGGTAGGGAGCAGGTGGTCCTTTTTTGAACCCAAAACACATCACCGATTGGTGACAGACGTCCTGGATTTGAGTGTCACCTTCTCTCTTCTAGTGTTACCCTGAAAAGTTAAGTCATCTTGAATAAGGACTGATAACACCAACCTCTCAGTGCAGCATCAGTGAGAGCATGGGGTGGGGGTGCGGCTGTCATCCAGCCAGCGCTCTGTGGCTGTTACCAGGAGGTGGTATCATGCTGAAGAGAGTTGGGGGCACCACCTCCTCTACTTCACAGCCTGGTCTTCCTCCTTTTTTATGGGGCAGAGGGTGTCTGTTTTCTTGCCTCCTACCCTTAGGATGTAGAGGTCCATCATTCCACTCTGTGTTCCTCCAATGAATACTGTTCAACAGGTTTCTTGGAGGCCAGAGCAGACCAGGATGATCTGGAACCCTGGCCTCTAGAGAGGAGGACTCTTCTCTCCCCATGTTTAAGCACTCCTTGTGCACACCTAACCCGCGGCACTTTGATTGACAGCCAGGCCCTCCCACCATGTCCTGGGAAAGGGAGGAATTCTGTAATGAGAGGAGACTCTTGCTCACCTCTAGGGGCTGTGAAAAGGGACTGCACCATCACTGGCTGGGGTGATATTTTTCCCCCCCACCCTCTAGCC